TTCTGTACTGCAGATGTTCCCACTAAATCTGCCATCCTTGTTTTTTTGCCATATGGTTGTACTATCACCCTGACCCTGCGGTAACTTCGGATGATCTGTAGGGACATAACATTTCAGGTTGCGTAGGCAATAAAACATGAAGATGTAAGCAGGCACATTTCCTTGTCACATTTACACTCCGAATCAAATCTTCACAATATAGGACCACAAAGTCCCTATTCTAAAATCTGACTTCGTTTGTTACCTTGCGTTTCATATTGACTCAACCTTAACGGTGAATCAGAACGATTGAAACAATAAGACATAAACAGGATGCTACTGTCTACTGTACAAACTCATAGGACGACAATCCGAGCTATCTAATTAAAAAAAAACTTACAATTTACGAAAGGTTCCAAAATTTAGTTTTAGTTCCACAATAATCCATCCCTCTTATCACCCCAATAACCTCGCCCAAACCTAGTCAAACCGAACCCATCCATCCAATCGACCATAAGTCGCCTCGAGAGGAAATGGCCCCGTGACCTACTTTCTAAGGAATAGGCAATGAATAACATGAATTATTTTTCCCCTCAATGTAAATACGCTAATGGAGAAATTTTAATGTTTTTTGGCTTATTCATATTTTGCATACCAAAAATGGTATGGTTGTAAAAATAAGACATTTAAGAAATAAATGTTCATTATCTAATTCTTAAAAAAAAATCTTTAAACATTTTTTTCAATACCTCTGGCACGATGCCTTTCCATTCCTTAGAAAAAGTTTTTTGATAAAGCCGTTTCTACCTCGTTTAGGATGTTACGATCTTACTTTCGACGAAGTACTCGACGCTTAAGTAGGTCCCAAATGTGTTCGATTTAGTTCACATCAGGACTTCGGGCATACCAAGCACTCAATTCCAGCCTAATTCAGGTAGGTAATCTATGGGGCCTGACATTACCTGTATTAGCAAAACTATCTCACCGATGTGGGGGGGGGGCAATGTCACTACATGCTCTTTGATTATGTCTTGTACCTCTGTGAAGTTAGAAAACTTAATAGCACAACAACTAATTTGGTGAGGTGAAGGGGTCAAAGGAAATGCCACCCCAGAACATCAATGACCAACCTTGGAATGCCTCCTATGGAACCATACACTATGGGGCGTACCTTTCTCCTGACCGTCTCGATATGAAATTACTCTCTTCTGAAGACTGGAAGCCAACTCTCGTCTCAACTGTAAAGAGAACTCGTCCCAAATCTTCCAATGCCAATTCGTATGTTCCTGTGCGAATTGGAGCCTGGCCATTTTCTCTGAGCTGTAGCAACGAGCCGCGCCCCGTCGCTGAGGTTATTTTCATTCTTACAGTCCTGGAATCGAAACATTTCGGCCTTATTTTATGAGATATTTTATTTCATTTCCCATAATGCTGCGGTTTCGTAGAGCCTGATGACGGATGAATCGTCTCTCTTGTCTGTAGACTTGGGTCGATCCTGCTTGGCCTTCAAGTGTGAAGCCCTGTTTTTCTGAAGCCTTCCTATTGTAGAGCTGTATCCTTACTCTAATAATATTATGACTGGCATTGCAATACTCACTCAAATGCCTTACAGGAACCAATGAAAAAGTTTTAAGAATAAGAATAATATCAAATGAAATCAAGGAAGGAAAAAGTTTAACTGATAACGATCTGTAGGCGAGCAGAATGGAAGGGCATAATGCTACGTTTTGTGCAAATGAGATTAATCAGTACAAAAGTAAATAAAGGGAGTAAACAAAGTATTATTTACTGTTTATTTTGACTAAGGTAGCTCCTAGTTAACTATGGAGAGAGATAATGGATCTAAATAAATTGAGTGGTGCGTTAAATTTGTATAAACGTACATATAAATATATGCATGTATTTAGTAGCGTCATGCGAATGTATTAATGCATTTGTAAACGAATTCTGAAATTAAATGTTTCTCTTTGAGCCGTCCCATTCTCGCTGTTTCCTCGGAGTACTTTCACTTAAAGCCGATTGAATTTGCTACAAGATCTTAAGAACAGAACAAAGCATTACCTCAGTAGACAAATTGTGGCATCGTAAATTATATTTTAAAGTCGAAATCAATGACCCAACCGATTAATCCGGGATGGAAATTCAATAAAAGCTATAACGAATTGTTCGGCAATGACATTTGTCCTGGGCGTGCCTTTCACGATGTCGCAACCGTTTGCCCAACGGCACGCTCTGATTCAGCCCTATGAATCCCACCTCCAAATTCATTGTTATCCATTTCTCTTCTAATTAGGGATTACGTTTCCAGACGATTTTGGGAAGGGAGGGACACCGCAACCTGGAATAGTTCGTTCGGTTGGATAATAAACCGCTAATTTAATACGACTGAAGTCAATTACGACGCGCTGTTGTCTTATGTTTAGTTAATTAAAGGTAACAATGAAAGAAAGCCCGTCTCTTCGTCTAAGAAACTCGGCGATCTGATAAAGTACGTTTCTTATGATATAACTCCTTCTTAGAAATCCCAAACGTTCAATAGAATAGAAAACTCGATGGTCTCTAGAGGAAAACCTGTTGAAATTAACTAGAGACCTAAGGTACAAAGAAATTAAGAATGCAATCAAGTTGACGCGAACGGCAGAAATGCCCTGGTAGTTGAGTTAGAGTAACTTTCTCACAAATGTTACACACATTCTAAGGTAACTTGCTGTTAAATCAAACCGCTGTTCTACCGCTATCAAGCACACTCGTTCCTGCACAATTAATTTCTTTCGTAAGTTCGTTTTCTCTTATGAAACACGATATACGATTTTGTCTGATATTTTAAAACGTGTTTTTCCAAAGTTAAAATTAATACAATTGAATATTTCTTATGCAACTATATAATTTGTTACATTATTTAAATTGATAAAGTGCAAGGTCTAATATTAATTATACATTGGTTACAATATAAGTTGTATTAATTAATGGCAAACGAAATATAAAAAATGAAAAAATAATAAAAGCTCATAAGGAGGCGTCAGTGGCCGCAACGGTTAGGCGTTGACAGGGCGCTCATCACTGTAAGGTAAAGGTCGCGGGTTCGAATCCAGCGGCTCTGCATTCGAACTCGACATACTTACACCGGCACCCCGAGGGTTTATATGACCTCTGCTGTTGCGAACCCTCGTAAAAAAAAAGTCTGTCCCTAGTTAGTTTGTCTGAAGGTAAGAAGTATTCGTGTGTCGCATCTATTAGTACATTTCAGTTGTTTTCTAAAGTCCAGTACATTAGGCAAAACGAACTTATAGTTTGCCTGAAAATGTGACAGTTTAAATCTTTCCTCAATAGTCATCATAATATTAACAATAAATCTTTATTTCACATAAGAAATTGAAAATGAGATGTCAAAGTATAATAAAAATTCTTCTTTTCTTCATTTTTGAATTCCTTCTTTTTGATTTTTATAGTGGGTTTTTTTTTTTTTTTTTGTAGGTCTTATTATGTAAAGGTTATTATTTTGCTTCAATTTTATTGAAAAATAAAATAATACGCCCTCCCAAAAAAAAGAATAATGAAATTTTTGTAAAGCAAGCTCATTAACCAAGAGCGGTCAAAGAAATTTATCTCTTCTGGTATTGAAATATACCTACAAATTTGCCAAAACCGAATATAAAAATTACCAAATCCTCAACAATGTGGGCAAGCTTAAAATACTCCATAATATACTAAAAATACGAAAAATGAACTAACATATCCACTTTAAAATTTAGAAATGTATAAACAACAGCTCACACACACTTAATTTACATCATGTAAGATATTATTTAAAATAAAAAGGAAACGAACCGAAGATCAATAAAAAATATAAAAGAAATATCTCAAATGTTCTTAAATATTTTTAATGTTGTCATTGTGATTTATTTATCCGGAAGTCAAAATTCTAAAACATCGATATATAAGTGAAGGGGGTAATTCCTTGGCTACATATAGAGAGCGTGTAGGAATGCCACCCGATGTGAGAATTTTTCTTGGGCTCGTCAGCGAGTATCTAGGTCCCCTGTTCCTATTCTGAAATGAAACTGTTTGTTTTATTGTATATAATAATGAGTTTTGTGTCTCTAGCGTGTTTGAAAGTTAATGTATGCGTATGTATTTTGTATGCTTTTACGTGGGATAAAGCAATAATGTCCAGGATAAAATGAGTCGAGTTTAAAAATATAAAATGTTTTACAAACTAAAAGAAGAAGAAGAATAAAGTAGCACAAAAAACTATTTTAAAAAAGTCGGAATCATTTCAAGCACCTTTTAAAACCCTTAAATACGAAGTTTCATAAGGCAAAAAATATAAAAATTTTAGACTGAATTACCCATGGAAATTATTTTTCCTCTGTTGTCAGGTTGCTTAAATATACATCACGAATAATCTAGATCTTTAAAGGCAAAACAATGTGAATTGCGTCTACAAAATTGACATAGTCGACTACAGTGTTGCACACATTGGCAGTGTTGGGAGTGTCCGTCTTTAAAGAAATTTGAAACTTTCTTTTAAAAATTTAATTACGTCAACTTGTATACAGCTTTAAGATTGATTTGTCTTGATGATGACCTGAAGGTAGGCCAATGCTTGGTAGTAACAATCCAATGTGTTTTTTCATCCAGACCATACCGATATCCATAATATTTGCGAGTAAAAATGTGCTCGATACATTTAACACTTTAAACATTAAAAATTCATAACTCCTTTGGATTTTATTCAAATCCAACGTTATTACAGGTGATTGGTTAATTTATACCAAAACCTATGGGAGTGGAAAATGTAAAATGAAATAAGGTCTGTCAGAAGTATGCTACTTCAATAACAAAAATAAAAAAAATTTCCTTACCAAATATAAACCAAAAAATATTATCGATAGAAGTAGAGGTATGGAGAACACATTACTTTTAACTAATATTTTATAACATAATAAAAACATTATTATTATTATAGAATTAGTGTTATTCCGTATTTATGTACATCAGATTCTACGTTAAACTTAATTTTAGTGTTGATGAACTGGTACGTGGTGGACGGCATGTCCAACCCTTTTAACTTCAGCGTTGAAGCCGTTTTTGTGATCGGCGTTGTAATGGACTTCTCTGACTGTACCATCAGCTTCTTTCAGCATGTAGAATCCTTTGACTTTGTCGCCTTCTCTGGTCTCATGCTGAGATTTAACATCACCTTTAAGTTCATCATCGACTTTGTACTCAAAGCTATAGTGAGGTGGTCCCTACAATTAAGGAAAAGTGGGTTCAACCCATTCTCAAATAAATATACTTGTAAATGTGCACTTACATAATAGTCATGATGTTCCACGTGGCATTGCTCTTCTTCTACTTTTTGGTGGTACACGGGTTCCTCTTGGTGTACGGCATGTCCAACTCGTTTGACCTCAGCGTTGAAACCATTTTTGTGATCAGCAGTGTAATAGACTTCCCTAACAGTGCCGTCGGCTTCTTTCAGCATGTAGAATCCTTTGACTTTGTCGCCTTCCCTAGTCTCATGATGAGATTTGACGTCCCCTTTATGCTCGTCGTGTACCTTATATTCGAAACTGTAATGCAAAGGAGCCTGCAATCCATAGAAAATTATCATATCTATGCCGATTTAATCAATTTTATATACCTACATAGTAGTCCAGATGTCCACGATGCCCTTCTTCGCTTTGTCCAGATGGCGCGCAAGTCGCGACAACGATGCAGGCCATAAACACTATCATAGAGTACATCGTTTGTTTGTGGCTAACACAACGGACATTTCAGCTTTTATAAGAAACACACGTAACTGGACCGTACAAGGTTAAGAAATTAATCTTTAATTGTAAAGAATGTAGTATTATGTATTGGAGAAAACCAATGGAATGGATGATTAAATGTTGATTATTTCCTTAACTTTTCATGCGCCAAAATTAAAAAATTCTACTTTAACATCTTGGTTAAAGATTTCTTTATTACATTTATTGGTATTTTATACATTTCTTTTTTTATAGCACAAGTAGAATTTTGTATGTGATTTATTGTGGTTATAAGTTTAAATTGTTATTTTTAACTGTGAGACTGAGCAATATTATCATAATAAAGTGTAAATTTCTTCATGAAAAATTACCCGGAATCAACATTAAAGTCCAAACTAGCAAAGATAGAATTGACCATGGATGAATGTCCCAATTTACTATTAATCTATTGTTTTCTTTTTTCTTTTTTATTAGCTCAGCATGTTTCTTAGTCTAAACTTGTGTTTCTGTTGGTATATAACAATATCACGCCTAACTGACATGTACTGTGTAGTATTAAGTTAAAATAATAAAATGAAAACTATGATCAACGTTTTCATGATTTGGCTTTTAATCGAGGAGAAATCAATCTACCGTAATAGCGCAGCTAGTGAAAGAAGTACGTGACTATACATTGTTTGTAAAATCTCCATTCCCATGACCTGCAGTCTATTGATTTCTAAACGGCAATTAATTTTTATTAATAACGAGTCGGTTTTTAAAAATTATCAAAACGATAAACTAACATTATGTTTACTTTTCTCATTGTTGTTACTACAACATTAATTTTATTTTTATTGTAACAACCACGACAACTGGTTTGAAGAATGCGGATTTCGCTTGGTTGAAAGTCAAGGTTGGTTGAAAAGTGATGGTGTGATATATACCTACATACTGGGTCAATATCAAATTACAAATTCATTTATAATAAAATAAATCGCTTAAAAGTTTGTGTTAAACAAATAACAAAATTAGTATTTTTATATGAAGAAAAAACAAAATTTGTGACGCACAACGGTTTTAATTATCAGTCAATTCTTGTTCATTCGGACTGATCATTACAATAAGGTCTAAACAATTGCCATTCCACTTTCTCAACAGTTTTCCTGCCTCCGTTTTGTTTTAGTCCTTCTCCTTTAAAGTTCAAGGCTTTGAAATAGAGCTTAGGCCTTATTTACGCTCTAATTGGGCATTTTTCGTGAATTATTAATTTGGAATTAGTCTGTCCTGTCGTTTGTAAACGTGAAAGGGTATTTCTGAAGGTTATTGATGGGAACAAAAAACATTGTCTTAATTAACAACAATTTTAACATTATTTGTGCTACAAGTGACAGTAAGTTTTGAAAAAGTACCTAGAATATATGTACCCAATTGCCATTTAAAATTTCATATCGACCGAAATGGCTGCCTCCATAATTCTCTCTCACTCTCTCTCCTCTCTCCCTTCTCTCGCTCCCTCTTTCTTTTCCACCTCTTTCTCTCTACCTATTATCAATCTCTCCCTGCATCTATGAGATACATCCACCATTCTACCAACCATCCATATTTCTATCTATCTATATATCTCTTTACATCTACTGTCTGCATATATTTATCTCTGTTTATTTATCTTCTTTGTATTATTTATAAATTCAAATATCTAGCTATGTATCTCGCTTTATTTACTTATTTTTCTACCCTATCTATATTTTTATATTAATATATTTATTTATTAATTTATATCTTTAGATATATATTTGTATCTATCTCCATATGTATCCATCTATCCGTCTCCTTTATTTATCTATTTCTGTTGCTCTATCTTTATATTTATCCTTCCTTCTATTTATCAATTTATCTATTCATCTATCTTTCTATTTATCCATTCTTCCATCTTTCTATGTTTAACTCTATTTTTATCTCTATTCATCTCCCTATATCTCTTGATTATCTATCTATCGACCTATCTATCTAAATACATACTACCTACTGTTTAGTTGTATTAACTTGTTTTATATACATATAATAGATTAGTAATTGATTCATATAAATTCTCCCTATCTATACCTTACTTTCCTTCAATATTTCTCTCTCTCTTTCTCTTTCTCTCTTTTTCTCCTTCTCCTACACATATACACATCCGCGTACCCGGATTTCATATTTTTAATCTCGCTAATTGCAACTTTTGTGATTTCGTTTTTCGGAGGATTTAATGAATTATAATATCACTAATTAAGGGGCGTTGGTGGCCGCAACGGTTTGGGCGTTGACACGGCGCTCATCACTTTAAGGTAAAGGTCCCGGGTTCGAATCCAGCGGCCCTGTATTCGAGCCCGACATACTTCAAAATGTTTTTTTTTTTTTTCAAAAACACCGGCACCCTGAGGGTATATATGACCTCTGCTCTTGCGAACCCTCGTAAACAAAAATAATAATAAAAAATAATCCCGCTCGTGACACTGACTTTTTTATCTCAACTAAAAACCTTAATTAATTGAAAGATATTAATTAGTCAAGCGGACCACGAAAACTAATGAACTGAATAAGTTAAAATGAAATATATCTTCACTAAAGCTCTCCGTGGCCATTTCAATTGTCGCCGAGAACCAAATAGATTAAACGACATTTGAAAAATGGCAAAAAGGAGGGAAAATTCAAAAGGTGGGGTTGAGATGGGAAGTAAATGTTCGAGTGGATCGAGGTCACGATAGCTCAAGTGGTAAAGTAGCGACGTATATAGCCGAAGGTCGTGGGTTCGAATCCCGCTCGTGACATTGACTTTTTTATCTCAACTAAAAACCTTAATTAATTGAATGATATTAATTGGTCAAGCGGACCACGAATACCAGTGAATAAAAATAATAATAAACATTACTAATTGATTTGTTTGATTTATTGTCTGAAGGATTATCCCAATTAAGTCTTTTACAATGAATCCCATCATTTAGGGATATACTTTTGTAGATAATTAAAGAGAAAGAAAAATACAAAAATTGACAGTATTTCCATTTAATTGTGAATGAATTCTATTTACTAAATAGAATCGTTGTAGTTGTAAATAACAAATAAGGGTACTAATTTTTTCACTAAAATTGGTACTTTTTCAACATTTAGCCTAATGTTATCTCTCTGGCGCATTTTGAAAATTCGATATTTTTAGTTGTTGAGTAGAACGCGACAAAACTAGTGGGAAGACCAAGTGATGGAAGATGATCAAACTTCAGGCTTGTCACCCAGAATTCTTCTGTTATGTTAAATTTTTCTCAATAACCATTAATGTCCACATGTGTAATTAGTTTAATTTAAGTATACATAAGACGTTTCCTGTCAGACATCATTAAAAATGGCGAAATGCCAAAATGCAGACTACAGGAAAATAAATGAAGTAGATGACCTGTATAATGAAAGGAACGATCGACGTGCTGTCAATTTATAAACACTATATATATCATTCTTCACAAAAAAAAGCAGTCAGCGACGCAGTGCCACTTTAATATTTGTTCGCCGACATTAAAGAAATGCCTTATCATTTACAGGGTAGTAATCATCCTGGCATCTCTTGACACGCGGCAAATGTTCGAGGAATGTTGCGGACACCCGTTCGTCAAACAATGCGAGTGAAGTACTTTCTAGGGTCCTTGATTCTCGGGGGTGTGGTGTGGCAACTCGGTTTCACAACTTGACGGGAAAAAAATAATCCGACGTTATCAAGCTAAAGGCTACCCCAAGACTAAATACCAAAATTATCCTTATTACCGACTCCTGGAAGTCCGATATCATCTCGTGAGAAATGGCCTATTGCGTTAAAATTATCGTTGGTCTAATTCCAGATTAAAGGCCTTTGATACGTCGAGGCAACGATTAGTCGATTTCAAAGCAACTCATTGGAAAACGATACCAATCAAACTCTAAAAAAATTAATTACTAGTGAAAACGTATTCGACTTAATTATTAAGAATTTGACTCGACCTATTCACTTACTCAATGAAGAGGCCGTGAAAAATGCGTTTGACTGAAACAGTAACCAGTGAATGTAAAAGGACAATAGCTGCGAATTGAATGCGTCTCTTTCACTGAAAAGGAATTGAGAGTCTTGTCTGAGTGAGACTTGTGGTGATGATTTGATGATCTTCTATGATGGTGTAGTAATGGTTTAGCTTTGCATATAAAGCTTCTCAATATCCTCTTAGATTAAGATGGTAATAACAGGTATTTGTAAGGTCCGAATGGACAGCAGTATAATGTTATTTTTCTTAAGATTTGTTTTAAGCTTTTTTTTACCCTCTGCAGGTGGGATGGGCTGCCGAACCCTCAATAGCCACAGGAGTATTGCAAAATGGTGCGAATTAGTAGACGATTGTCTTTTTATTGCAAGTGCTTGAGGTGATCTGCCGAACAGGGGTGTTTGATGAATTAATTTATGTGACTTTTTTGTTATTCGATTTTTTTTAATATTAGCTTTTTATCCAATCATAATCTTATGTAGCGGATGTTCGAATTGCAAGAAAGAGATTGTTCAGTAATAGTATACTGGGGTTGGATCTTCTTTTTTTATTTTTACGAGAGTGTGGACTTAGATGGATGGTAGTGCGCCACTTTTTACACCTCTATAAGGTAAGGCCTGAAAACTTTTCTAGTGTACGTTGAGCTTCTTCAAAAGCGTTGTCTGCGAATTGTGCGGAGGACGAGTGGTTAGGGCACTCGATCGTATTTGTCACGCTAGGGGTTCTGGGTTCGAATCCCGACAGATGGATGGCTTTTATTGATTTAATAATATGAAAAATATATTGATTGTAAAGCGGTTTGACTCCTAGTCCGCTAGTCCCCTCGTCCTGCAGTTGAACTTTAAACCTTCGTTAAATGACAGGAATTACTTTACTTTTTTGACTTTTTAAATGGACGGGTTGCACCCCGAATCGATTCTGTAATAAAAAAAGAGTAGTTACCTCTTGGAAAAAAGTGTTAATTTTTATGTG